CTAGCCCCCTGACTTCTAGAGAGCGCCCTGGCCGCGAAAGTAATCTTTTGGGGGCCCAGGAACTTTTTGTTCAGGGCGATAAGTAGCAACTCCTAGACCTGGTTTTATCTTTTCCACCACTGGTCCCCCAGTAGACCCTTTTGCCCATTGTCCGGGGGGGGGGGGGGGGGGCGGGAGGGCATTTTCCCTGCCGGCAGCAGTGCCTTTCCTGCATGGCCACTCGGGCTGAGGCTGCTGGGGGGCACTAAGCCCTAGGCGGGCGGGGATGGCGGACTGTCACCTCCCTGTGAGGTCACATCTTTCTTCAGCCTGTCCAGGCCCAGATGTCAACACATTTATCGCCTGTTACAGGCTGGGCCTGGTACTTTCGGGGTGGGGTGGGGAGGGGCAGGAGGAGGGAGGAGTAGCCCTGGGTGCTTCACTGTGTCCTGGTGGCTTGCTGTCCCCTGAGTGGCAGGGCCAGGCCCACAGCAGGACATTTTGCACAGGTGGCCGTTCTGTGCACTAAGTGGGGAGCCCACAGACAGAGGCTCTCGGAGGGGCCCCTGGCCCTGAGCCTGCACTGGAGGTGCCCCGTCCCCAAGCTCAGGGGCAGTGCTGCAGGGACTGAGGCCCACCCAACCCAGCCACACCCCCTCACCCCTTCAGCTCCTGTGGCCTGGTTCCCCTCCCTCTGTTCTAGAAAGGTCCCGTTTAGAATTCCACTCTAAAAGTTCGGGCTGCGGGGCTGGGGGGCAAAGGTGGGAGCCAGCATTTGAGGAGTACCTACAGTGTGCTAGGAATTTTCTTTCATTTTCATAAACAGTTGAATTATGCCCATTTTCAGATGAAGATAAAGAAATCAAGGCTTAGCCCTAACTGGTTTGGCTCAGTGGATAGAGCTGCGGACTGAGGGGTCCCAGGTTCAATTCCGGTCAAGGGCATGTACCTTGGTTGCGGGCACATCCCCAGTAGGGAGTGTGCAGGAGGCAGCTGGTCAATGTTTCTCTCTCATAGATGTTTCTAACTCTATTCATCTCTGTAAAAAAATCAATAAAATATATTTTTTTAAAAAAGACTCTTAGTTTAAAAACAAAAAAATAAAAAAAAGAAAGAAAGAAATCAAGGCTCAGAGACCCTTTCTCCCTCTCTCCTCACTTCCTTCCTCCCTTCATCAAATGTCCCTGACACCTCCTCTGAGCCAGGCCCAGTGCTCGCCTGAAGACCCGCCCCCAGGTCATAGGGAGGCGGGATTCTGACACCAGAGCCACGAGGCTCCAAAGCCAGTGCTGTCCCTTCTGGAGGGAGGGAGCAGACAGAACCTGAGAGCTTCTGGGGTCAGAGCCTCCCACGGGGGCCGCGGTGAGCTCCCTGGTCCTTGCTCTCCACAGACGTACACGGGCTCCATCCTGGTGGCTGTGAACCCCTACCAGCTGCTCTCCATCTACTCGCCAGAGCACATCCGCCAGTACACCAACAAGAAGATCGGGGAGATGCCCCCGCACATCTTCGCCATTGCCGACAACTGCTACTTCAACATGAAACGAAACAGCCGTGACCAGTGCTGCATCATCAGGTGGGCGGCCCAGCACCAGGGTGGAGGTCCAGGCTTAACCCCGAGAGCACTAGCTATGTGCTCCTGCTAATGTCTCGTAGTATAGAGAATCACCTCCCCTTTCCCAGGTCTAATATCTCTATTAATGCGACCCAAGCTCATGTTAGCTTTTGAGGCCAACCTTACTAGTATTGACTGCTGGCTCCTATTAAGTTATGGTCAGTGGAAAGCTCAGGATCCTGTTCTCTCTTGGGCAGAGGGTAAAAGGACAAAGCACGATCCAGCATCTAATACGTGCCATGCTATATGGCAAGTAGGGAGGGAGGGGTGTGCATGTTGGAATGAAGAGGGAGGAAAGTAACCTCTGGTTGTGGCAGAGCAATGAACTCCTCTAGCCTTCCCAGCCCTGGATGGTCTATATTGTCAGCCCATTACACAGACGGAGGAGGGCTCATAGGGGAAGCAGCTTGGGCTGAAGCGTTAAGAGGAGGGGAACAACGCAGACTGTGACAGGCCCTGCCTGTGTCTGGGTGTCTGCAGTGGGGAGTCTGGGGCAGGGAAGACAGAGAGCACGAAGCTGATCCTGCAGTTCCTGGCGGCCATCAGTGGGCAGCACTCGTGGATCGAGCAGCAGGTGCTGGAGGCCACCCCCATCCTGGAAGGTAGGGCCACGGGCCGCAGGGGAGGGCTGGGCGGCTGGGCGGGGGCTGACCGTGCCCGTGACCCTCTACCCACCCTGAAGCCTTCGGGAACGCCAAGACCATTCGCAACGACAACTCAAGCCGCTTCGGGAAGTACATTGACATCCACTTCAACAAGCGGGGTGCCATCGAGGGCGCCAAGATCGAGCAGTACCTGCTGGAGAAGTCGCGCGTCTGTCGCCAGGTGGGCCCAGGCCCGGGGGCAGAGCTGTCCCTCACAGAGCCCCGAGCCTGCTTGCATGCCCGAAACCCACCATGGAACCACCATGGGAGCTTTTTCATAGAAGCCACTTGTTCAAACAGCAAACCGTGTGGCCAGGCTTCCTGATTGGTTCCTGGCGGCCTCCCCCTGTGCTCCTGCCCCCAACACCTGTGCCCCATTTTCAGGCGCCTGACGAGAGGAACTACCACGTGTTCTACTGCATGCTGGAGGGCATGGGCGAGGACCAGAGGAAGAAGCTGGGCCTGGGCCAGGCCTCCGACTACAACTACTTGGCTATGGTGAGGCCCAGGTGGGGCATCCAGGGAGGGGACAGCCATCCCAGGGAGGCCAGGGTCAGCCCACCCAGCCCCTCCCCAGCTCTAGGCCGGGTGGGTGGGAATTTCCACGTGGGCTTTCTCCCATCCTCTCGCCGGCCCCACCCCCAGCCCACCCTGGGCTTGTGTGTGCCCTAAGGCCTGTTTCCCACGTGGGTACACACCCGCTTGCACACACATCTAGGCAAATTCTCCCCACAGACACATGTAAATGTGTGTAGACATCCCAGACCCAGGGACACATACACACACATACACACACATACATGAGCCCGCCTGTACACATATACTGTATTAGTGTAGTGTAAAGACTTGAAGACTGGGGCCTCTGCCAGGCCCCCAGGAGTGCAGGGTGCAGGACACGGTGGCTTCATACCCGAGGGCTCGCTGATTACAGGGCTCTGGTGCCAGCCCCTTGCTGCTGGCAGGCCACCAAGGAGAAGTGGACCCAGGGCCATTGCTACCACACAGCAGGCTGGCTTGGGGGGCACCAGCTTCCTTAGTCCTGGGGAGACCTGATGGCTGGTTGCCTGGAGATGGGCTGAGCCATGTGGACACAAGTGTGGGCAAGGGCACCTGAGGGATGTGGGACAACGAAGGTGCATGTATGTGTGTTGTAGGTGTAACACGTGCATACACACACACACACACACACACACACACACGGGTCTACAGGCTCACACAATGGGGCAGGCCCTGCCAATGCTCCTTCACCTCAGGCTGCACCGGTGAGGGGTTCAAGTCCCTGAGGGTGGGTGTCCCTGGGCGGAGGGGAGCATGGCAGGGCCTTGGTGCTGTGCCTGCAGGCAGGGTGATGGACCAGGCCTGGCATCAGTGACCCAGGCCTCTTACTCGTGGGAAATGGGGCATCCAGGGTTTCCAGATGGAGGAGATGTGTTCCTGAGCAGCCCACGTGGGCGCTTGCTAGCCTTCCTGAGAGTCATGGTGCCCGTTAGGTGAGGTCGGTGCCCGGAGCCAGGCTGCTTGGCCGGGCAGTGAGGGCCCCCCCGATGCCCTCCTTCACCCACTCTCCCCCTCCTGCCCACCAGGGCAACTGCATAACCTGCGAGGGCCGCGAGGACAGCCAGGAGTATGCCAACATCCGCTCCGCCATGAAGGTGCTCATGTTCACTGACACAGAGAACTGGGAGATCTCGAAGCTCCTGGCCTCCATCCTGCACCTCGGCAACCTGCAGTACGAGGGTGAGGGGCCTCAATGCACCCCCCTCCCCCAACCCTGTACTGGATCCTAGAGCAGCATGACGCCTAGCCGTCCAGGGGGTGCTGGTGGCTCAGTTCTGTCTCAGTTTCTGTCGCATGTGCCTGTGGGAGATTTGAACAGGTCCCCTAGCCTCAGGTACGGTTTAACTCAGGTGCTGAAATTCCACCATAGAGATGTATGGATAAAGTGTAATGGGGGATGACTATTGGCCCTTTATTTAAAAAATATTTTTTTTATTGATTTCAGAGAGGAAGGGAGAGAGATATAGAAACATCAGTGATGAGAGAGAATCATTGATCAGCTGCCTCCTGCACATCCCCTCAGGCCCTGCACCCTGGCCTGCTCTGATCTCCAGCCCCTTGGCCCTCATGCTGGGCATATTCTTTGGACATTCTCTCTGCTGTGCTGCTCCTACTGGGGATCGAGCCCACAACCCGGGCATGTGCCCTTGACCGGAATCAAACCCAGGACCCTTCAATCCACAGGCCGATGCTCTATCCACTGAGCCAAACCAGCTAGGGCACTATTGGCCCTTTAAAACCACTTCCAAATTTGGTTTCTTCTTTAAGGTCAGGTGTCTTAGAGAGGGAGTAAATTTTTTAATTAAGTCATACTAAGGTATGAGTGATTAAATATCCATCTTCAGAAAAGGGGAAAAGCTAGAAAAGAGAATATGTTCACTCACCTACTATGTGCCAGGCTGGGAGACGGTCCTCGAAGGCCGGCACCGAGTTCCATTTTGCTCTTGCCCTTGGTACCCAACACAGTCCCGTGACTGAGTAAGAGCCTGAGCTTAAGTCGAAACTGACCCTCTTGGAAAGTTTGTTTGGTGAATGGATGGATAATCCCAGCTCTAAGCAGCTCACAGTCTAGTGAGTCTTAAAAGACCAAGAGAATGCATAAATGAGTGGAAAAACAAATTGATGTTCCTCTCTCTCTCTCTCAAAATCAATTCTTAAAAAAAAAGACTGAGAGGTGAAGAAAGGGTACGCCAGGCAGAAGGGAGAGTTCATGCAGAGGCTCTGAGGCCTGAGGAAGCATTGGGGGAAGGACAGGGAGTATCAGGCACTAAGCCAAGCAAGGTCACAGGGCCTGTCTCGGAGGAGCTACGGGTTGTTCTGGGAGCCTAGTGAAGGCTGGGGGGGAGGGGCAGGCATGACTGCCAGCGTCTGATACCTGGGTGCCAGGTGTGGAGCCAGGTGTTGGCTACACAGTTTCTAAGCTCATGGTGCCCATAGTTCATGATGAGAACATTCATCAAACATACATTGACCAGAGAAGCTTTAAACCAGAGTGTGGTGTCCTCTGTGGACAGGGTGGGCATTCATCCCCTTAGACTGCCCCCTTGCCCCTTGCCCACCCTCCCCTGCCTGATGCCGTGCCCTCTTGCTGCTGACAGCCAGGACATTTGAAAACCTGGATGCCTGCGAGGTGCTCTTCTCCCCGTCCCTGGCCACAGCTGCATCCTTGCTCGAGGTCAGTGCCCGGTCTTCTGTCCCCTTGGCTGTTTTTGTTTCTCTCAGAGGGACGTTTGGACTTCAGGCCCAGGGGCTGAGCATGTGGGGCCCAAGGAGCTGGGACCTCTGCTTGGGAAAGTTCTAGAAATTCAACACAGAGAACCCACGGTGCACAGGATCTGTGCTGGGCACGCGTCTTTAGGAAGAGGAGAGCCCAGAGCCTGTCTTCGCCCAGCTGGTCCTGGGAGCAGCAGGGACTTAGGGGACCAAGTGAATCAGTCTGTCAGTCTTTAGCAAACATTAGGCTCGGCCCTGGGTTGGAAAACGGCGATGAGTAAAACCAGAGTAAGAGCCAGTCCTGGGAAGGGCAGGTGACATACAGGGGAGTGGGGGGGCAGGCAGGGGCCGTCAGAGAGCAGTTCCCTCCGGCAGCGTTGGGGTGGGTTGGTGTGGGGAGGATTTGGCTGTAGGGCCTGGGAAGGGCATTCTTACTGTGGGGCTCTGCCCTGCGGACCATCTGAGTGGAGGGAGCAGTCTGAGTGAGGCTTGGTTGTGAAGAGGGAGGGGTTCTGGGTGTGCTGGGAGTTCTAGGGAGGGCCTGGCTGGCAGGTGGCCGGGTGACCTCCCGGTGTCGCCCCACCAGGTGAACCCCCCAGACCTGATGAACTGCCTGACCAGCCGCACCCTCATCACCCGCGGCGAGACGGTGTCCACCCCGCTCAGCAGGGAGCAGGCGCTGGATGTCCGCGATGCCTTCGTCAAGGTGGGCTTGTGGAGTGGCCCCTGCTCTCCCCACCCTCCGGAGGTTTTGACGGGCAGGAGCTGAGGGGTCCACAGAGCTGGTGGGCCTCTGGGCCATGACCCCCACCTGCCCTTGGACCCAGGCTCCAGCCACTGGCTGCCTTGGGCTGAGTCCCACAAGGGCTGGGAGTTGTGCCCCCAGGGGCCCTGCACCCTGGCCTGCTTTGATCTCCAGCCCCTTGGCCCTCATGTGGGGCATGTTCTTTGGACATTCTCTCTGCTGTGCTGCTCTCAGCCCAGGGGCACCCTCTCTGGTCTCTTCAAAGAAAACAATGAAGAAAGGCTGGGCTGGGTGGGCAGGGTGCCGAATCTGGCCTGTTTCCACAGTCACACGCTTGCTGTGCCTGCTCTAGGCCCTGTGCTGGGCTCTGGGACCCACAAGGCATCCAGGGCTGATGGGGAGACAGAGATGGATGGAGAAATGGGAGTCCCAAGGAGGGCTCCCCACACTCTGAGGTCAGGGAAGGTTTCCTGGGGAGCTTTGAAAAACGAGTAGGAATTGTCCAAGCAGAAAAGGGTGCTCCGGGCAGGGGGGACAGCTGGAGCAAAGGCGTGGGATTTCAGAGCTTGCTCCCCCGTGGAAGGGGCTGGAGCGAGGCCTCCAGGGCCCAGGAGCGTGGCCTGTCTCCCTGGGAGGCTGTGGCTGGGCCGGGGCTGATGCAGCCGCCCTGCCTCTCAGGGGATCTACGGGCGGCTCTTCGTGTGGATCGTAGACAAGATCAACGCGGCGATTTACAAGCCCCCGTCCCAGGACGTGAAGAACTCTCGCCGGTCCATCGGCCTCCTGGACATCTTTGGGTTCGAGAACTTTGCTGTGAACAGGTAGCGGTGGGGCTCTGCCCTGCGGGACTTTTCCTCCACAACACGGACAGGAAGGTCACGTCTCTCCCTTTAGACTACATTCGTCGGCCCCACACACCCTGCCAGGCTGCTGGGAAATTTGACTCCCGTCGTCCCTGTGGGCCCTCTCCCCTTCCTCCCCATCCCCTCCAGCCCCCAGTCAGCTGAGGCCTGCCAGGAGGGGGTGGTGGGGAGGCTCTTATCTGGTCAAGGACACCCCAGGCCCTGCTGCCCATCGGCCTGTGCCCAGCTGCAAGGTGCCTGGAAGCAAGTGAGGCTGGGCCTGAGCCAAGGTTGAGATGGGGGTCTCGGCCACACTTGGAGGCCCACACTCTTGGGGGGCCGTGTGGGCAGATGGATGGGACAGGCCTAGGTGGATCCCAGGTGGCAGGAAGCCGGCCCTGCCCCACTTCCTGGCTGCGGGACCCCTGGCAAGTCGCCTCAGTTCCTGTAATGTTTGGATGTCTTGAAGCCCTTCCCACACCCTGCCAAAACACCCACATTGAATTCACAGTGTCACTGGGAGGGCGCTGAGTTGGTGGCTCAGAGATGTTAGCCATCAAGGCTCTGCTTCCAAGTCTCACCAGCCCCCTCCCCAGTCCGCGGACACTTTGGACCTTTCCTCCTGGGGCACCTCCCCAGCCTTGGCTCTGCCCCTCCCAGGCGCTCTGCCTGGGGCTGGAGCCCACCTGCCCACCCTCCCCAGGGCCTGGTCATGCAGGGGAAGGGTCCTGAGCCCCGAGTCTGGGCTTTAACTCTCCCTCTGACTCACTGAGTGACTTTGGGGGGATGCTTTGCTCTCGCTGGGCCTTGGTGTCCCCTCCTGCTCATGAGGGGGTTGGACATGGCAGTCCCGGCCCCCCTCAGACGTGGAGGCAGAGCTGGGCCCCCGAGCGGTGGAGCAGGGCCTGAACGACACCCCCTTGTCCCTGTGTCCCCTGCGCATCCCCCCCTCCCCAGCTTCGAGCAGCTCTGCATCAACTTCGCCAACGAGCACCTGCAGCAGTTCTTCGTGCGGCACGTGTTCAAGCTGGAGCAGGAGGAGTACGACCTGGAGAGCATCGACTGGCTGCACATCGAGTTCACCGACAACCAGGACGCCCTGGACATGATCGCCAACAAGCCCATGAACATCATCTCCCTCATCGACGAGGAGAGCAAGTTCCCCAAGGTGGGCCTGCGGGGCGGGGGTGGGGTGGGGCGCATCCTCCACACCCAGCCTCCGCTTTCCTCACCTGCAAAATGGGGCTAATGACACCCGCTCTCAGGGTGGCTCTGGGCCAATTCAAGTGCGTTCACCTGGCATTTGGAAATCAGTACAATCCACTGGGTCCTGCACCCAACACTGAAGATCTAAGCATGCAGCTGGCACAGAATAGGTGCTCCACACATGGCCTAGGCCTTGGAGTGGGAGGGACTGTTCCCAGGGTTTTACTCCTGGGAGTAGATTTCCTAAACTGGAATGTACTATCACGGTGGGGAAGTGGAGGCTCAGAGAGCTCCTCTGTGGGCTATAAGCAAAGGGAGGAAAGCTCTTGAGAAAGACAGAAGAGGGGGTGCAAAGACGTGGGGCAGGACAGGCAGTGGGGCCTGGTGGAGAGTGGGGGGAGTGGAGGTGGGGGGCGTGGGAGAGGAGGCCCGACGGCTGCCCTCGGTCCCCACAGGGCACGGACGCCACCATGTTGCATAAGCTGAACTCGCAGCACAAGCTCAACTCCAACTACATTCCTCCCAAGAACAACCACGAGACGCAGTTCGGCATCAACCACTTTGCTGGTGTCGTCTACTATGAGACTCAAGGTACAGGCGGGCTGGCAGGGCTGTCTCCTTGTCTGGGCCCCTCCCTCCCTCACCCCCGCCAGCCCAGGACAGAGACCCAGGTCCTGGAATGCAGGGTGGAAACGGTGGGATCAGTGCTTTTTTATGGTTTTGTTTTAGAGATTTAAAAGTGTTGCAGTAAAATATATAATATAAAATTTACTATTTTAACAATTTTTACGTCTATGATTCAATGGCATTAAGATATAGTGCAGCCATCATCAGTCCATCATCAGTATTAGCGTGACCGTCATCACTATCCGTTTCCAGAGCCTATTCGTCACCCCAAATAGGAGCTCTGCACCCCACTGACAATAACTCCCCCTCGCCCTCCCCCCAGCCTCTGGTACCCTCGATCCTGCTTTCTGTCTTACATATTGGACCATTTGAAGTACTTCATGGGAGTGGAATCTACAATATTTGTCCTTTCGTGTTTGGCTCATTGCACGGAGCATTAGGTCCTCAGGTGCATGGCTGCTGGAGCACGTGTCCTCTTTAGTTATTTCATCTGTTGATGGACGTTTGCGTCGTCTCCACGTTGTGGCTGTTGCAGATAATGCTGCTGAGAACGTGGTGTACACGTATCCGAGTCCCTGCTTTCAGCTCTTTGGGGTGGGCCCAGTGCTCGTCTGTACAACGGGAAACTGAGGCTCATAAGGGGGGTTCACGGTCCTTACAAGACGTAGCCCATTGGATGCAAACCCAGGCCTAGAACCAGCCCAGTTACCCACCAAGACTCTTTTAGCAAAAAGACCACCTGTGAGCTTTGAAGGGGATGCTCCTCTTCCCTCCTGGGACATGCAATTGGGTTCATTTTCAAGCTAGACGTCAAGAATAGGGTCAGAACACAGTCCAGTTTACTCCACTCGGAATTCTTATAGGGTCTGCCATAAGCCTGCAGGTGGTCCTAGCCCGCCCCGTTGTACTGGTAAAGGGCCAGCCTTGACTGGGTCTTGGTGGTGGGATGTGTCTACATGGAGCTCCGGTCATTCAGCCCCAAAGGGTCCCTCCCACAGCCCAAGCCATTGAAATTCAAAACCAATAAGAATAGTCATCGGTTTAGCAGGTCCTTGTTGAGCTGGTCCAGGGGCAGTAGAGTGTGTCATGAGCCATGCTGCAGGGGTGGACTCTGAAGGCTGCTCAGCCTCCTTAAGATATGAAATGTGAGCTCCCACCGGGCTGTCGAGAGAAGGACGCCAACGTCACGTGAGGACTCTTGGGCAAACCAATGGGTCTGTTGTTTGGAGCAACAGAGGATTGCAGTTTTCAGTTCAGTGCCACCAACACTCACTGAGCATCTGCTACGTGCCAGGCCTCCTGTGTTGCTGAGGATGAGAAGTGAAGGCGGAGGGAATTTTACATGAAGCTGTAGGATTATAGAACGTTAGCTCTGGAGGGAACACGAGGGTCATCTACTTCTATGGATTTGCAAGCTGAGGTCCAGAGAGTGAAACGACTTGCCTCAGATCACTGACCAGTTCTGAGCTGCCTTAAGCAATTCTGCCAGCATTTTCTGGTTGGCGAAGTGCTGTTTTAATCCGGCATTTCATCCATGACATGGATGGTGACAGGTGATCTAAAGAGAAGCAACAGCCTTTGAGTACTGTCTTTCCCATCTGACCGACGAGGAAGCTGAGGCCCAGAGGGGACCTTCCCAGGTCACAGCGCGTTTGTTAGAGCCCCACGATCCATGCCGACCCCAGAGCCCACCCCTCCACTGCGAGTGCTCCTGCAGCTCACCCCTCCTCAGATGCCCGGAGGGCAGCCCGGCACTAGTCTCTGTGCCGTCTACCAGCCCGGGCAGCCCGAGTCCTGTGGGGAGAGGGTGCTGCCCTCTGCAGTGTCCCTCCTCCTCAGCCCTGGGCACCTGTCTCCCCCCCCCTCCCCCAACACCCCCCCCCCACCACCACCATAACCCAGCTCCTAACTCCCCATTAACTGGGGACGGCAGTTGGGGTCTGTGTGGTGTAGGGAAGCCTCCTTGGCCCGCGCCGGTGGTCCTGAGTTTGAGTCTTAACTCTGCCTGTGACTTGCTTAGCTTCTCTGAGCTCGATTTACTCCCTTGTGGGATGAGAAGGTAATCCCTGCTTGTCCCACACCTCCTGGGCGCGGGGGCAGCTGTGAGGGGACGTTGAAAACATAAAGCAAGCTATTGTGAGTTAATTTTTGTACTATTAGCTGGTACCAGATCAACATGTAGTCTCTCCCAGGTGACACTTACCATTGCTTTTGACTGATACCTTTGTTTAAAAGACTGAGGCTGGCATTTTAGGCATTGGGGCTCACTCAGGGAGGTGCCCACTCCGTCCCCGGGACACACCTGCTGCCCTCTCCTGACCAGCTGAGGAGGGGCTGTGTGGTTGGGGCGATGGAGCTCCAGCTCAGGCTCTGCCCTCACTCTCTCTGTGACCTTGGGCCAGTGGCTGTCCTCTCGCGGCCTCAGTGCCCCCACTGAAACACGGATGTGGGTGGACTGGGTGAATTTTGAGGATCCTCTGGCCTTGGATTTGGGGATGGGGGCGGGGCTGAGTCTTGTCAGGCGGAGGCAGCCGGAGCCCGCGAGGCGTGACCACTCTTTGCCGCTGCCCAGGCTTCCTGGAGAAGAACCGGGATACCCTGCACGGAGACATCATCCAGCTGGTCCACTCCTCCAGGAACAAGTTCATCAAGCAGATCTTCCAGGCCGACGTCGCCATGGTAACGTGGGGGCAGGGCTTCCATGGGGCGGGAGGGGTCTCAGGCGCCAGGCCGGTCTCTAGGCACCCTTGTCCAACAGCCTCAGCGCGTCCCTCTGGCCGCAGAGCCAGGACAGAGCTTTCCTATGCTTCTAGGAGGGGTTGGGGGCCTCCAGGACCCTCCCATCTGGTCCTGTACTGACTGAGGGGGTGCGGGTGTGTGTGTGTGTAAGGCCCAGAGAAGGGTCACATGAGAGGTCACAGAGCAGAGCCTGATCAGGACTTGGTTTTCCATGGGGTCCCCCCTCCCCCCTGGACCTCCTACTGCTAACAGGGAGCAGACAGAGGGAGCAGGTCCAGCCTCAAGGTCGTCGGTAGGTGTGGGCATTCGGAGAAATGGCACAAAGGATAGATGTGCACCAGCCCTGGAGCCCATGGGTGGAGAATTCCTCACCCTCTGTCTCTCCTTCGTCACTCGAGTGGGAGGCTGGTGGGCTTCTCCCTGCAGGATCATATGCCTTTTTCTCATATTTCCTCCTGTCCCCTGGCTTCTTGGAGGGGCACGGAGAGGCTCACAGGGCGGGCAGAGCCGCTGCCCCCTCGGTGCCCGTCCAGGTGCCTCAGATGCCCCCAGCCCCAAGGAGCCCAGACCTCTGCCCTGCGGGTCCTCTTCTCTCCCTGGGGGTTTCGCCCTCTGTTCTGACCCACCCCGTTCTGCTTGCCCCTCCCCCCATCGCGCCTGCACTGCGGTTCCTGCTATAGTTTCTCTGTGGTTACTCATCGGGCACCCTCCGCCAGTCAGCAGCTTCTGCGAAGGTAAAAGCCCTGAGGCCCCTGGGACTAGGCTGTGTCCTTGGTCCCCATGGCACCAAGGTTTGGGGAAAGGGCTGGCTTTTCTTTATTTTTCTTTCTTTTTTTTTTGAGTGTGTTTTTTTGTGGAGTGGTTTGTGGAGTGATTTTGTTTTTGGTTTCTGAGTGTGTGTATTGCAGGCATCTCAGTTTCTTAAAGAGGGAAACTGAGTCTTAGAAAAAAGAGGCAAGACTTGCCCAGCTGCCCCGTGAGCCAAGGGCAGAGCCGAGACCAAACCCGAGTCTCCCGTCCTCTTCGAGGCATCAAGGCAGCTCCTCCCCAGGCCCTGCGCTCGGTCAGGTCATCGGTGACCTTGTGCGGCAGGAGGGGCAGGTGGTGTTTTCTGCATTTTGGGGATAGAAAGCTCAGAGATGGGTGTGACCCACCCCAAGTCAGCATCCGGGGGAGCTGGCCCTAGAAGGCCTCGCCCAGACCTGCTAGGGCCCAGTGGTCACCCCTTCAGGTCGTGGCTCCCAGGCGCTTTAGGTGCCAAAGGTGCTGGGGTCCCCTTAGCGGCGGCAGAGCTCTGCCATCCTCTTTGCCTCCCTTTTCTGGAACCCTCAGTCTCCTCTGTCTAATCCTGACATCGCCCCACACGTGGTCTAAATGCTCACTCCCTCTTCCTTCCCGGATGTCTGGCGCCCCCTGCCGCCCAGTGTCTCACAGAGTTCTGAAACAATTCGTGAAAGCCACGGCTGCAGAGTGGGGCAGGAAGGAGCAGGGCGGCCTCTGTCCTCTGCCCATGGAGCAGCCCTGGACCCCACCCCCGTTGTGGCTCAGTCAGTTAACAGGGTGAAGGTAGGGCCACCACCAAAATGGGGCCCAGACTCCTGAAGCACCAGCTGCGAGCGCTCCCACCCCGAATCCACCTGTCACAGGGTCACACTGATGAGACAGGTGGGCCTCCAGGCTCTCCTGCATTCTTTCCTCTCGTCCTTTCCATTCTTTCCTCTCAGCCCACCTGCCAGGCCCACCCACTCCCTCTGGTCTTCATAGTCCTGGAATACCACTGCACCCCGTCTTCTCCTCCCACCCCCTCTCCTCTCACCCCAAATTACGATTGCCCCCAGGTGACAGCTAAAGAAGCTGGGACCCAGAGAGGCCTAGCTGCTTGCCTGAGCTCACACAGCTTGTGCCACACAAGGGTTAGATCCAGGTCTGTCTCGTGGAGGTACAGCGACTTGTCCAAGGTCACATGCAAGGGAGGGCTAGTGAGGCTTTTCAAGCCCCCGTTCTTTCCACTGCACGATGGTGTCTCTGTGAGCGTCCCCCTCGAGAAGGAAAATGCTCTGTACCTGCCGGAAACACCGCGGTTCTGTTAAAGGCACACGGGAACCGGCTGGGGGAACCGTGCATTCAGTTTATTCCACACAGTGTGCTGGCTGCAGTGCCCATTCGGGGCGGGAGCCCAGCTGCCTTGTCCAGCGATCTGAACGCATGTCCCGTGCAGGCCCCCACCCCTGAGCTCCCAGCCTTGCTTCTTGTGTCTCCTCCCCAGGACGGCCCTGGCAGCCCCACCCCAGCCACTGCTGCTGGGGAGCTCAGCTGAGCCCTCAGGACGGTGGCACTGAGCACCCGGATTAATGTCTAACCCCAGTCACATGTCCCCGGGCCCCGAGTCCACAGGACGTTTTGTTCACTCTGTGCTGGCGGCTTCCCCTGCCTGCAGCGTCCCAGCCCCGTTCCCCTCACACTCAGGTGCCTGCCCCTTAGGTCCCTTCTGTGCAGTCACTTAACATTGACTTTTGGACTTTTCACTCCTGCCTTTACCCTACCCACCCCCCTCGCCCCGCACACTCCCAGATGCCATCCCCAAATACCTTCAGGTCATCCCCGAGACAAGGAATATCAGGAAGGGCCACCTTTCTCCCTTCACCAATAAAAGCCAAATCAGAAGCCCAGGTGGCCAGGGAGTGATGGCAGAGCCCGCCGCTCCGTGGCCCCATTCACTCCGTGATCCAGTCATAACTACTGATTGTGCCCATTATATGCCAGACACGGTCCTACGTGTTGACGACATAGTAGTGAACAAAACAGGGAAAAAATGTCCTGTCTGCATGAAACTTACATTCTGGCAGAAGGGGAAATAGTTAATCAGTTGGTAATAAGTAAAGTATATAGCATGTCAGGTGGGGCTATATGACATGGAGAAAGATTAAGGAATGGGGAATGCCGGTGGGGCGGGGGGGGGGGGGCGTTGCAATGTTGAACAGGGGCATCGGGAAAAGGCTGTGGAGACGTCAATAACGCCGGGGGCGGGGGGGGCGGGG